GACGTCTTCATCCCCCTGTGCTTTATTCACTTCCGTCTATACCGTGCCGGGCAGACGATGGGTGCATGCGTGCGCTAGCTGGGAGGTCCTAGCGGTGGAACTCACGTACAGGTTGTGATGCGTTCCACTGTGGAATTGCGGCACGCATGCGCAATGCAATTTCAAATTCAGGCGCCAAAATTACTTTATTTTTTATTTTATTTTTTGGTTTCCAGGACTTAGAGAGGCTATTTAGCCAGCAGCAACTAACTGTTTGCCAGGTGCACTCAGAATTTGTTGCAAGTGTGTTCTCACCTGCCCTCCAACACACTTTGCCATTTAAGGTAAGCCTTTTTTGCTTTTATCTTAAGTGATTCTAGCCTGAATTATGGAGTTTTGATTTTGTTCAGCTTTTCTTTCTCTTTTTTTTTTTTCCCTTCCGTATGTCTTATCTTGAGACTGCAGAGAGAGCTTCAGAGTGAGGGAAATGTTCTGCGAAATCCAAACATTTTAAGCTGTGCTGCATGTTCCCAACCCATGCCAGATGGATATAAGTAGACATGTGCAATTCGTTTCGAATGTGAATTCGGACGAATTTTGGGCAATTCGGACATTCGGGTACTTCCGAGTGTCCGAATAGATGACTTGCCGAATGGTTGATGTCCCGAAATTCAGAAATTACTGAATTGTCGAAGTGCCGAAGCACAGTATTCCTTAAGAACTAATATACTTACCTAGTGAAAGAATGAGAATGTTACACTGTATACAAATTTAAATAAAAAGTATACAAACATAGCCAGGATTCAGCTGTAAGCATTTGCAACACTTACAACAATAAAGTAACACACATTCATATAAAATGTAAGTTACTTAGCCAGTCAATGTAATGACAGGAATGAATAAGTAGATAAATCCCTAATTCCCATGGTATTAGGGAGCTATCTGCTGAAAGACCTAAATTGGTTTACTTAGTATTAGTAAATTATGCCCCTACTCGCTATACCGCGAGTAGGGGCATGTCTATTAAACAGTGAGCAGCCTATGGCGGGTGGGGGCCCTACAGTAAAATAAGGGGGGGGACCCTAAATTTTAGGGGGGGACCCTAAATACTTAACTGCTCACTGTTTAATAGTCATTTTTACTTAGTATTAGTAAATTTGGCTGAAAGACCAATTTAGGTCTTTCAGCCTTTTGGTAGATAGCGCACTAATACCATGGGAATTAGGGAGTAACCTACTAAGCGGCTGCAAAAGAAGTCCCGAAATTCCAAACTGTCGAAGTTGCCGAAGTTCTGAAGTGTTGAAATGCCAAATTGCAAAATTTTGGAATGCCGAACCGAACTGAAAATTTTCCCCATGCACATGCCTAAATATAAGTGCAAAATTTGTTCCAATTGTACTAGGCTTCTGAGGAAGCAAAGAAAACTGAAATGTCTACATTCCTAAATTGGTTCCAGCAAATTCTGCAACAAACATTTGTTGAAATGCAGACTGCAGCCGTTCAGTCTGCTCAGGCCTCTGCTTCCCAGGATTCTACAGTATTAAATCCGTCTAGGCCTAAAAAGGCCTAGATCCTGGGAATTGTCTGACGTAAGCTCTGCTTCTTCTATGTCAGAATCAAGAAATGAGGATTCTAGTGATTGCTCTGAGGAAGAATTTTCTTTTCCAGAGGAATCTATTGGTGAAAGTACAGTGCCTGATGGGTTATAAGGAACACTTCAGGAGCAAAGGAAATAAATCCAAAGCTTTTCCGTTTCATCCACAATTAAAGGATTTGATTCTAAGGGAATGGAAATTCCCAGGAAGAAAGCCTTTTATTTCTAAACATTTTAAAGCTATTTGCCATCAATAAGGATCCTGAGTGCCTCCTGGATCCTTTACCTTCAGTAGACGTCCCTATAGCTCAGCTGGGAAAGAAAACCAAGTTACCTATAGTGGATTCAAGTGGCTTAAAAGACGCCATGGAGAAACGTATTGATTCTTCCTTAAAGGACCACTCTAGGCACCCAGACCACTTCAGCTTAATGAAGTGGTCTGGGTGCCAGGTCCAGCTAGGGTTAACCCATTTTTTTATAAACATAGCAGTTTCAGAGAAACTGCTATGTTTATAAATGGGTTAAGCCTTCCTCCAAAGCCCCTAGCGGCTGTCTCATTGACAGCCGCTAGAGGCGCTTGCGTGTTTCTCACTGTGAAAATCACAGTGAGAGCACGCAAGCGTCCATTGGAAAGCATTGTAAATGTGACCGGCTGAATGCGCGCGCAGCTCTTGCCGCGCGTGCGCATTCAGCCTAATGGGCGGAGAGGAGGAGGATCGGAGGAGGAGAGCTCCCCTCCCAGCGCTGGAAAAAGGTAAGTTTTTACCCCTTTCCAGAGCCGGGCGTGAGAGGGTCCCTGAGGGTGGGGGCACCCTCAGGGCACTATAGTGCCAGAAAAACGAGTGTTTTCCTGGCACTATAGTGATCCTTTAAAGAAACTGTTTTTTTTTCCTCCGCATCTCAATCCAAAGCACGGATTGCAGGTACCTCAGTGGCAAAGGCACAGAAACATTGGCTGGAAGAATTAGAAAAGACTTCTGCGGGTGAATCCAAAGAAGATCCAGTCAAGTTGTTGCAAAATATCAAGATGGCATCTAACTTTCTAGTTGATTCCTCTTCAGAAGGTCTGAAGACAATGGGTTTATCCACAGTGGCAAGAAGAGCAATTTGGCTAAGAAACTGGCCGGCTGACTCAGCATCCAAAAATTATTTGTGACCTTCCATTTGAACCAGGCAGACTTTTTGGTTCTAAACTGGATGATATTTTGAAACAAATGAAGGCTGGTAAAAAGGCTTTACCTGAAGATAACAGGAAGCATAATTGGAATAAAAGATATATTTTATTTTTTTTATTTTTTTTAAAGTCCAATCTGCTTACAGGGGATCCTTTCAGAAGAACACTTACAGAGGTCAACAAAGGAAGGTGTTTGATTACAGGATAAAAGAGAAGTTCTCTGATAAAAGGTATACAAATTTATGACGCCATTCCTATTGGAGAAAGACTCACTCATTTCCTGGATTCCTGGCAGAAAACTACCTCTGATCACTGGGTTCTTTCAGTAATAAGGAAGGGTTACTATCTGGATTTAGCAGAGATCCCAAAAAGAAAATTCTTATGCTCTACAGTCCACTCGCGGGTGAAAGAAAAAGTGCTAATGGGAGAAGTGTCAAAACTTCTTCAAAAGAATGTCATAGAAAGTGTGCATCCAAAAGACAGATTTCTGGGCACTTATTTAAGACTCTTTTTGGTTCCAAAGCCAGACGGTTCTTTCAGACCCATTCTAGATCTCAAGACCGTCAACAAATTTATTCTAAAAAATAAGTTTCATATGGAAACAAAGTCTGCAACTCGTATGATTTCAACGAGAAAACTGTCTGATTTCTCTGGATCTAAAAGACGCCGATCTACACGTTCCCATCGCAGACCCCAGGAAAAGATTCCTAAGGTTCGCTATCAACTTCCAGAGTCGGACTCTTCATTACAAGTTCAGAGCTCTTCCCTTTGGTTTGTCTTCAGCCCCAAGAGTGTTCACAAAGATTCTGGTAGTAACTTCAGCAGATTTAAGGGGAAAAGGCATCAATGTCATCCCTTATTTAGACGACTGGCTTTTGATTGCAGACTCCAAAGAAAAACTTTATCTAGACCTCAATACGGCTTTAGACACTTTAAACAAATCATGGTTGGTTGATAACTTTCGTAAAGTAGGAATTGGTCCCAGTTCAAAGAATTCAGTTCCTGGGTCTAATTATAGACACACTCGTTATGAAAATATTCCTTCCAGAAGAAAAAAGAACAAAGATTGTTCTGGCTATTCAGAAACTCAGAGAAAGAAGTTGGTGCTCCATCAGAGATGCAATGAGTTTGCTGGGTCTTTTCACAGCCTCCATCCCAGAAGTCAATTGTGCAAAGGCCAGAATGAGACCCCTTCAAAGAAACATTTTAAGCTGCTGGAACAGGCAAACTTACAGCTTGGACATGCCTTTTGAAACTCAACAGTCAGGCGCTGAAGAGTTTTCTCTGGTGGACCTCGTCTCGTTTCCTGTAAACAGGCCTCTCGTTCCAAATGAAGTCAGTCAAAGTTTTAACAGATGTCTCAGGTCGCGTCTGGGGTGCTCATTTAGGAGAAAAGAAGAAACCAGGAGTTTGGCAAGTAAAAGATTTAAGAAGTTAATCGAACTACAAAGAACTGAAGACTGTCTGGCTGGCTCTCATTGCTTTTCGGAATCAGATCCAGAATCAACATGTCCAGATCAGGTCAGACAATTCTACAACAGTAGCTTATATAAACAAACAAGGAGGAACAAGATCAAAGAGTTTGGAAGATATGTGTTCCAGAATCATGCTGTGGTCAGAGTTCCACCTTCTGTCAATTTCAGCGGTTCACTTAAAAGGAGAATTCAATGTACTGGCAGGCGCTCTAAGTCGTCAACATTTAAAGCAAGCAGATTGGTCCCTTTCTTCCCAGATCTTCAGTCAAATCACAAAGAAATTCGGTTATCCAGAAATAGACCTTATGGCTTCAAGATCAAACAAGAAAACAAGAAGATTTGTTTTAAATGTTTTATTTTGTGTTGCAAGTACAAGCATGTAGTTGGTCTTGTTTCATGGAAAGCATATGATTGCCCGCGCAGAGGCGTTTCAGATAAAACATGCAGTTACATTAGGTTCAAGGGCTTTTAACAGTTATGTGCTTAATGGACCACTCTAGGCACCCAGACCACTTCAGCTTAATGAAGTGGTCTGGGTGCCAGGTCCAGCTAGGGTTAACCCATTCTGTGAAACTGCTATGTTTATGAATGGGTTAAGCCTTCCCCCTAATCCTCTAGTGGCTGTCTCATTGACAGCCACTAGAGGCGCTTGCGTGCTTCTCACTGTGATTTTCACAGTGAGAGAACGCAAGCGTCCATAGGAAAGCATTATGAATGCTTTCCTATGTGACCGGCTGAATGCGCGCGCAGCTCTTGCCGCGCGTGCGCATTCAGCCGACGGGGAGGAGAGAAGGAGGATCGGAGGAGGAGAGCTCTCCGTCCAGCGCTAGAAAAAGGTGAGTTTTAACCCCTTTCCTCTCCCCAGAGAGGGGGAGTGTTTTCTTGGCACTATAGTGGTCCTTTAATAAATCAAGTTGACTTCGTTCATGCTGTGACTTTGGGCTAGATTTCAGTATACTTGTTGTTTGTCATCCAGCGATGTAGTGCTAGATATAAGCAGGTAAGCGGAGTTGCTTCCGGAGAGACATAGCGTTGCCGACGCTGAGTCACAAAGTCAGTCTTTGAGTGTAGTTTCTCGTTTCGTTTGGGAGTATTGGTAGGTACTCGTGTTGTGTTGCCTGTGCCTAGCCTCTTTGTGTAGGTGTGGGGCATAGACTGTGCGCTCAGGTGATGGTTTTATCCATTGTTTTAAGTTGCCCGGGTGGTCGTTATTGTGCCCGAAACCTGTTGTGGCTGTATGTTATTCTCTGCGTAGGTGGCCTAGAGAGGCAGCTGTTGTCTAACCTGTCACTGGTGGCTGCGTGATCGGTGCATGTGTGTGACATTGCTCCTTGTGGGGCGTGTCTCCCTCATTCCTGCCCTCCGGTGCTTGGTAGCGCCAGCGGTTGCGCTGGGGCGTGTGGGGGTAGGCATCTCGGGTGGACTGGTCGCAGTATGTCATGTTGCCCCCTTCTCCGAGGCAGTGTGTGGTCATGAGGTCATGTCACCGTGTGGCGGTGGAGCGTGGGTCTAGGTCTCGTGTTGGGCAGGTCTGTGTGGGTCCGCATTCCACGTTGGGGGCTGTTGCCTTACGGGGCCTGGTCCTTAGTGTGGTTCATGTTGCCTCCAGTCAGTGATTGGGTTGTGTGAGGTTGGCGCACACTGGGGGGGAGGAAAAAGGGGGGGAGGGGGAGGGACGGAAAGGGGGGGGAAAGGAGGTGGGGAAAGGGGGATGTGGGTGAGGGCAACCCGTCTAGGGGCCACCCCAGGTGCAGGCGCCCGGTTGTCTTGTAGTTGCGTGTCCTTGGTTTAGGGTGGGTTCAGGCATTGTAAGAACTCATCTGTAGCGATGTCTCGTATCCAGTGGAACCATGAGCTTTTCTTTTGCCGCTGCCGTGGTGGCTTTCAGGTCCTCGAATTTTCTTGTGTCCTCCTTCTCCTTAACCCACGTGGTTGTTTCCAGAATATGGGGATAGTCGGGAAAACAAGAAGATTTGGATCTCTAAACCTGGCAGACAGACCAGAGGTCATAGACTCCCTGGAAGTTCGATCTGGTTTACGTGTTTCCTCCTATTTCTCTTATTCCCAGAATTCTTCAGAAGATCAGGATAGAAAGGGTGAGAATAATCATAATTCTCCCTTGGTGGCCGAGAAGAAGTTGGTTCTCAGTTCTCCTAAATATTCCCGGATCAACCTTTTGGAAACCTTCCCCTGTCAGCAGACATAATGGAACACTCCATGGTACCTTTTCTGATTCTGAAATTCAAATTGACGGCATGGTGTCTGAATACCAGATAGAAAGGGTTTGTCTCTTGATGTTAAGATTTTGATGGCTGCTAAAAAGGATTCTACCTCCAAGATTTATTCCAGAATATGGAAGAAGTTTTGTTCTTGGTGTGTCAGGATCAAGGAAAATCCAGTCTCCGCTTCCATTCCAAACATCCTTAGTTTCCTTCAGATGGGCTTTGTGAAAGGTTTAAAACCAGCCACACTCAAAGTCCAACTTTCAGCTATCAGCTTCTTTTCATTCAGATGCTTGGCTTCAAATATCCTAATCTCCAGATATTTTAAGGCGCTGTTTCGTTTGGTTCCTACCATCAGGGAAACTTGTTCTCCATGGGATCTTAATTTGGTTTTATCAGCTCTCTGCAAACCTCAGTTTGAACCTCTAGAAAAGTCTTCTCTGAAGGTTTTATCATTCAGTTTGTTTTTGGTGGCCATTACCTTGACTTAAAGATTGGGAGAACTTCAAGCTCTTAATGTGACTTTTCCTTTTTTAGTCTTCCATCAAGACAAAGTAGTGTTAAAGCTGGATCCTTCTTTTATCCCCAAGGTATATTCTTCCTCTACCATCAATCAAGAATTGATTTTACCTACTTTTTGCCAACAGCCTTCTAATGCGTTAGAAGTTAAATTCCACTGTCTGGACGTTAAGAGACCTCTGCTTCAGTACCTGGAAAGTACAAATGCCTTTAGGAAATCTAACAGACTTTTTTTAGTCTTGTTTCATGGCCCTAGGAAAGGTTTGATGGCTTCAAAAGGATGTCTGGCCAGATGGTTAAAGGAATGCATTCGTCTGGCTTATTCCTCATCCAACATTGCGATGCCTTTCTCCATTAAAGCTCATTCAACCAGAGCTATATCCACATCGTGGGCCCTTCGGGCTTCAGCTACGCATTCTCAAATTTGTTCTGCAGCCACGTCGTCATCTCTTCATACGTTTGCTAAACATGACAAATTTGACATACTGGCCTCGGAGAACGCATCTTTTGGGCGCAAGGTGTTACAAGCTGTTGTGAAATGAGTCCCGCCCTTAGGGTATTGCTTTGATTATCCCTGTTTAGCACTGCCTCTAATCTGAAGGGAAAAGCATACATTTTTTACTTACTATAAATTTATTTTTCCTGAAGATTAGAGGCAGTGCTCACTCCACACCCCTCCTCCCCCTCTATGTTCTAATAAAGTAATTTTGCAGTTAACCGACTTTTGTATTTTCTGGGGATGTTTGGGGTAAGTGTCAATTTATAGGACAAGATGGAATTAGGGGAGGTATTTTAAAAAGTTTTGGGGATTGTCGGCCTGTTTTTTCCCTCCTGATTAGAAATCCCTGTTAAGCACTGCCTCTAAACTTCAGGAAAAATAAATTTACGGTCAGTAAAAATTTTTGTGTATGTGTGTATATATATATATATATATGTATATATATATATATATATATATATATATATATATATATCATGAAAAAAATTAAATATAAAGATATGTGTATTTCATTAACTAATGGCCCCAAGGGGTTTGTGTACTCGCTATAAAGCGAGGTGTTTTGAATTGACTTCGCAATTGCAAAATGTTGGCTTAAACAAAGCTTGGGAAACACAATTCCCTTTGACTTTTTTGACTTACATTTGTAGCTATTCTGGTGACTAAATTAAATTTATGCTATTTTACCACTTTCTTGCTTTTCCTTATTTTTCAGCTTCCATACCTGTTGGATGGCGATGTCAAGCTAACTCAGAGCAATACCATCCTGCGCTATATCGCAAGCAAGCATGGATTGTGTAAGAGTTTTTTTTTTTTTTTTTTTGTAGACCACTACACTTTAAAAACACACACAGACACGTCTTCATTTTAACTCATGGACATGTGTTGCTCATGACTCTCGTGGGGTTTAAAATCTAAAGGGGTGACTTTGAATTCATAATAGCTAATTGCAATCAGTACTGAAAAGATTGGAATAAAGAAAAAGATCAACTAAAAAGTAACAAATTTGTTTGGCTTATTATCATGTAGCTTATCAAACAATGTTGTAGTTTCTAATGTTAATAAGTACAATGCCTTTGATCCAAAGTGTGTATTTTAAAAGTGGACCTAACAGTGTCTGTCTGGTTTCCTCATGTTTTGTATTATTGTAAAGTGGTGATCCACTAATTTAAAAAGAAAATAAAGTGCTATTATGCAAATTAGGCTTCTCTCCCTGCTTGTGGAAGTGGTAAGCAACATGTATTGGTTTTGTCATGTAGCAGGTGAGCAGTGGAGGGTAATACCGTATTTTCCGGCGTATAAGACGACTTTTTACCCCTGGAAAATCTTCTCCAAAGTGGGGGGTCGTCTTATACGCCGGGTATATGGCTGCTGGGGGCGCCCTGCGCCCCCATCGCCGGCCCTTCTAATGCTGCAGCCGCCTGAGCGCTCTATAGAGAGAGCGCTCAGACGGCTGCCGCACTGCCTCTCTTACCTCCCCTTCCCTGTGCAGCGTGGGTGGCTGAGCTCCTCTTCGTCCTGTCAGTCCGGCAGGACGACGCGGTACAGGAGATTCAGTTACCTGAGTGCTCACTTCCTTTCAGTAGGCCGGGAACAGGTAACTGAATCTCCTGTACCGCGCGGTACCCGGCCGGACTGACAGAATGAAGAGGAGCTCGGCCACCCACTCTGCACATGGAAGGGGAGGTGAGAAGGAGGGAGGGGGGAGTAAAAAAATTGGGGGGGTGAGTAAAAAAAAATTGGAGAGGTGGATTAAAAAGAGAATGGGGGGGATTAAAAAAGAATGGGGGGGATTAAAAAAGAATGGGGGGGGGGGATTAAAAAGAATATCGCAATTGGCCTCCTGTGTGCTAGACCAGCATGCATGGATTATATGCCCAAACAGCCTGGCACATACCTGGGCTTTAACCCCTTAAGGACACATGACATGTGTGACATGTCATAATTCCCTTTTATTCCAGAAGTTTGGTCCTTAAGGGGTTAAATGCTATTTCAGATTATCATTATTTAAAGTACCACTCTAGGTACCCAGACCACTTCAGCTTAATGAAGTGGTCTGGGTGCCAGGTCCAGCTAGGATTAACCCATTTTTTTTATAAACACAGCAGTTTCAGAGAAACTGCTATGTTTATAAATGGGTTAATCCAGCCTCTAAAGCCTCTAGTGGCTGTCTCATTGACAGCCGCTAGAGGCGCTTGCGTGATTCTCATTGTGAAAATCACAGTGAGAGCACGCAAGCGTCCATAGGAAAGCATTGTAAATGCTTTCTTATGCGACCGGCTGAATGCGCGCGCAGCTCTTGCTGCGCGTGCGCATTCAGCCGAAGGGGAGGAACTGGGGAGGATCGGAGGAGGAGAGCTCCCTGCCCAGCGCTGGAAAAAGGTAATTTTTTTTTTTTTTTTTTTACCCCTTTCCTCTCCCCAGAGCCGGACGGGAGGGGGACCCTGAGGGTGGGGGCACCCTGAGGGCACTATAGTGCCAGGAAAACGAGTATGTTTTCCTGGCACTATAGTGGTCCTTTAACGTCTTGCTGTGTAGCTCTTTCTGCTCACTGTACATCATGGCTAATTTTTATTTGGTGTGCATTGGAAGAGGGGTAGTCTTATACGGTGAGTATATCCCAAACTCTATATTTTAACTGGAAAAGTTGGGGGTCGTCTTATACGCCCAGTCGTCTTATACGCCGGAAAATACGGTAATCTATTTCTATTTTAGACTCACGCACTCTGTAAATGAAACTAATTATTACTGGCTTAAACTTGTTCTCAATACTTTACCACTGTTTCTCCTTTCCAGGTGCTGAAACTGAAAAAGATAAGATCATTGAATCCCTGCTTGAGAACCAGTTTCTGGATTTTCGGATGGGTCTTGTGCATATTGCGTACAACCCACAATTCGTAAGTGAAGATAAAGATGAGAAATGCAGAAAGTGTATTATCTTAACAAACTATACAATTATCTTTCTTCCAGGAAACTCTCAAGGGACCATACCTTGAAAAACTACCTACAGCCTTGGCACGTGTTTCTAAATTCCTTGGGGACAGACAATGGTTTGTAGGAGACAAGGTAATCTACCACTGTTCTAGGTCTGTTTCATTACTCGTTCATACCTTTTGCATGTATGATTTCATTGTATAGATACATGGAATACCCCAATTACACGGAATTGAGTCAGGTGCTGACTAGATAGGACGTCTATATTGAAATTCTATTATTTTCCTAGATCACTTTCATTGACTTTATCGTGTATGATGTTTTGGACCAGCATCAGATGCTAGAGCCAATTTGTCTTCAAAACTTCCAGAACTTGCAGGACTTTCTGAACCGGTTTGAGGTAAACCTTGCATGTTTTTCTCTTCCTTTTCGCAATGTTATACAGAGTATAATTTTATTATTCTTCCATTTTTCAGGCTCTTCCTACTATTGCTGCATATATGAAGTCTCCTCGCTTTATGAAGACCCCCATACATAATCGGATGGCATTCTGGGCTAACAAAAAATAAGTTGCCTCTAAATCAAATCCGTGTTCACATCCCAGTCTAAGTTCTCAGTAATCCCATCTTTTATTCCTACATCTTAATTTCATGTAAACTCCTAACCATAAATCCACACTAACTACTGCTACTTCTTCGTATTACTCAAACTGTCACTTCAATGGGGAAATGCCTGTTGGCAAGGAGAAGACGTTTTTGAATAACTTTGTCTCAAAAATGTAGAAGAAACAGCTAAAATGTGTGGTGAAAGACAGCCTTCATTCTTCTACCTCTCTTGGTTCAATCAAAGCCTTAAAGCTATAGAAGTAAAGAGTTCATTCCAAATGATCATGTGCAAAATTGTGTTTTTGTGACAATTGGGATTCTCCATCTTTTGGTACAATAGAAACTGGGTAAGAAGCAATTAAGAGGAAGGTGATTTGTGTGGATGAGTGGTGAATGAGTAATGATTTGGGGAGAAAATGGGTGTCACGGCAAGGGTGTATAATTTATTATGACACTATGGAATATCATCTTTTAATGTGATTTCTTGTAGTAAATGGCACAAATTACAGAGATGCTATTGCTGAGGTCAACAGGGGTTACATCTTTTGAAGCTGGGACCCCCACAGAGGGCAGATGACAGAAGGGGTAGTGTGAATGGCATAGGAATGTGAAAAGGATTTTACTGTATGGATGTGAAGTCTGCAAGGTGTGAGGTTCTACACTTGGAAAAAGTCTGAATGTCTCTTCATCCATTTGGCCTGTACTTTGTAAGTGGTGAGTAAATCTCTTTGATATGTAAATGCCATTAGCTTTGTTCTAGTATCATATCCAAATGAAGGACAAAAACATTCATATTTACCCCCACAGAATAATAATTAAGCCTCATTTTTGTTATATTTGGAATGTGACAAGCGCCATCTTCTAACCAAGTCCAAACATGAGTGGCCTAACTTGACCCTAGGGAAAGGAATTGTGATGTCCGTCCTATTGGATCGTGGGTGGGACGTGCAACATGTCTATGGAATGGGAAAATAATAACAAATTTGTAGATGCAATTATTATTTCTGTGGCAGGTACAAAAAAGAAGATAGAGTCAAATGTTTCCATTTGGATTGACAGTGGTCTGGAACAAAGGAGGTGGTCAGTTATTATTACTGTAGGTACGCCTTAACTCCACCCCTGGGCAAGACTTGATAAACCACAGGGTATATATCTAATGATCCTGAAGGGTGTTGGTGTACTTGCTTGGGGCCAAGATCTAATTTTGGGTGAGTCACCATCTTTCCTTGCCAGAGACCCCCTGGACAGAAGTTGTACTTTGAAAACCTAAGTGAGTAATTAGGACTTCTGTATTTTATCCTTTTTGTTTTTATCTGTTGTTGGTGTAAATAATTTGTTTATCATATATTTTTATATGCACTGTGACTATCTTTTGCTCATAATAAACATTCATTTATTAAGTTTTGCCTTTGTCTGGTTAAGAATCACGTTACCTGAAGAGACTAGTTAGTATTTTTATAATTCCTTAAATATTGTATTAAGTAATATTTGGTGGGTTTTATTATTGATTTACCTGGGGGACCAAGGCACCCCATTTATAAATTGTCTTGGTGGTGGCAGCGTTAAAGTAGTAATAGTTATACTATTATGTTTAAGTGTGGGTGGTGTTAAAGGGGGATTTTGTCATTATTTCCGGTCTAGTGCAGACAAATAGTGTACTTTAACCCTTTCACCACCACAACTACGTCACGCACACTCTTGGAGTAGGGTGCGTTCGTGACAATGGGTACTAAGATTTGTTAGCTTACATGATTTTTTTAAGTTTTGCAAAAGCACTGAATCAGGGTAAAGGTAAGTCTCAACCTCCTGCCACTCTTTACAGCTTTGTAGGGAAATGTGACAAGTGTTAACAAGCTGCATGTGGTAACACATACTAATGAGTTTGTATTCGCTTTCTCTGACCTGAGAGAGATTTGAATATATCCATAAGTTTATCAATGCAGGTAATCACAGGATGCGTTTCCCAAGTTCATGTGCATGGGCCAGGAGTGTGGCGTAGTCTCTTCCAAAGAGCAAATATCAGATATAAGACAGTGTGTAGTTGTAGGATTTTACGTGACAGATATCAAGATTGAAAAGCTGCGGACTGGTGGCAGAGAGCATGCAAGTTTAGTATGAAGTGTAGCTAAAGACGGAGTTATATACAAGAAACCAAGTAGTAGTACTCGGGGCTGGTGCAAGGATTTTTGCCACCCTAGGCAAAAGAGAAATTTGTCGCCCCCCCCCATGTGACATTACAATGCCCCACCCATATGATCTGCCATATCAACTAACGCCAGTGCTGCATACAGTGTGTGTTTACATTAAAAAGCCTGCAGGGACAGGCTATAGACACCGGAACCACTTCATTAAGCTGAAGTGGTTCTGGGGACTAGTGTCCCCTTTTTTTTTTTTTTATTTTTTTTTTTTTATATGGGTAAAATTGTTCACAGCTTTATTTAAATATATAAATAATAATAACTTAACATAGAAACTTTTGGGTCATTGCCCTATGACCCGCCCTTACTTAAGTATCCTTCCGTTAGGTATAAAAGGCAATGACCCCACTATAAATAATATATATATCCACACAGCAAAGGTGACCAGCACCCACGGATTCACTATCAAGCCAAAACATCCAAAGTCCAATGAAAAACAAAAAAGATTGCCGACAACTCAACGCCCCAGTCCCCCTCCGGGACCTTCATCAGGAATCCCAGAGGAGGACCGAAACGCCGAGCCGCCAACAATCCTCCCCATTTCTCATCAAACTTTGGACGCTCCAACCCAACAATGAATCCGTGAGTGCTGGTCACATCCGCCACGCGGACATCTAGTTTTTCTCTAGGACTGCAAGCACCCGGTATGTAGTCTTTGAGTCTGAGTGCGAGGATTTTGTGTATACATACACATACATATAACACTATTTTTTTTTTTATCTTTGACAATTTTTATTGAAGTTTTATAGGGGTACAGAAGAGAATAGGGGGTGGGGGAGCAGTGGTAACGTAAAGTATCTCATACACATTGACCTTAGGACAGTGTACACATTTATCATACACAGTTTGCTTTTCATACGATCATTGTGTTATATCGTGATGCCCTGATTGGGTCTGCTGATTATTGTCCACCCCATGCCCTGAGGGGGGGGGCTCACATCGGTCCCTTCCAGGGTGGTAATCGACTGGGTTTGTGATTGATGCTGGGTGTAGAGCTTTGGTATTTCATATACCACTGGGGTGGGGGGTGAACCGTGGAAGAGGATCAGAGTGGGGACGGAAGGGAGGGGGGGGATGAAGGGGGGAGGAGAAAGGAGGGGGGGAGAGGGTAGGGCTCTCCTAGGTAGTCGGCTGTGTGTGGTCGTTTCTGCAGGACTATCTGTCTTACATGTGTTTTATTCGAGTTGCGGCATTATCGTTGTGTTTGCAGTCTCCAGAATTATTTACATTTTCATTTACAGTTGCATTGACCTTTACATTTACACCCTTTGCTACAGTTTCGTTGTCGAAGGGGCACAGCTGTCGGTGTGTAGATCCCTGCTACCGTCATCTCAATTGGGGGTTATATTATTAGTACGCTCCATGTACAGTTGCCAGGTTTCCCAGGCTTGTGACCAAACTTTTTTGGAGTGGTTTGAGCGTCTAGCTGCCAGCTCGTAGAGCTTAGTTGTTTCTATCGTTTGTATGCATTCTGATATTTTGGGTGGGATATTAGATTTCCAATGTCTGCTAATGACCGTGAGCGCGGCTATAAGTATGTGATAGATTAAGTATTTTTGCCTGCTCCGCAGCCCCTTTGGAAAGAGGTGGAGGAGGTATATTTCTGGTTTGCGGGGTAGTAGTGTTTTTGTGCTGTCTTGGATAATGGTGGTTATGGTATTCCAGTAGGGTGTTAAGGAGGGGCATTCCCACCAAATGTGGAGCATTGTGCCCTTGTGTTGTTGACATCTCCAACAGATATCGGAGGCCTGTGGATAGGTGGCCTTTAGGCGTGTGGGTACTAGGTACCACCGGTATAAAATTTTCGGGGATAGTTCCATGTGGGAGGCACATTTGGAGAGTGAATTGTGTGCCAGGAGAATCTCATTCCATTGTTTTTCACCAAGAGTGTACGTAAGTTCCCTCTCCCATGCAGCTATGAAGGAGAGGTTTTTGTGGTCTTTTGGGGGATGCATAGTCTGGTATAGTTCCGAGATGAGTTTTTTGGGGGTTGCGAGACGTGAGCATATTTTCTCTACCACCGTCAGCTGTAGCCCCTGTACATTGTCAGGTCTTGTTATAGTTTGCTTGCGGAGCCATGATTGCAACTGCATGTAGGGGAAAGCTGCCCTTGGAGTCAAATTATAACATGCTGTTAGGTCTGCGAGATTTCTGAGCTTGTTTTCCTGGAGCAGCTGGTGTAAGTGTGTTACTCCGTGCTGATGCCATACGGTGTAGTTAAAATTAGGTATTATATAGTGTAGTGTTTGTATGGGCATGGCAGGCGATATTTTGCCCAGCCAGCCCAATGTGCGGCAGTACTTGTCCCATATGGTCAGGGTGAGGGCTGTGGTTGGGAGCAATTTTGCCTTAGTAGGCCTGCTGTGCTGGGGAAGCCATGCCAGTACATTGATGGGAATGTTATTAGCATGCTGCGCCTCCAGTTCCATCCATTGGGTTGGGTGGTCTCGATGGCAAGCCGCTAGTAGGGGGCCCAGAATGGCTGCTCTGTAGTAGCTGTCTAGGTTGGGCACTCCCATTCCCCCATTTTTGCGTGGCATGTATAGCGTGCTTTTCGCTACCCGTGCTTTTTGTCTGTCCCATATAAAGGTTAGTAGTGTTTGTTGAGCATCTCGTATGAATGTGGGGGGTATCTTTATGGGTAGCGTTCTAAACAAGTATTGCAATTTAGGTACAATGATCATTTTAATTGCGGCAATTCTCCCTGACCAAGATACGAATTTACTCTTCCATCCTAGTAGTAGGTTTTTTATTTCAGTCAGTGTTTTTTGATAGTTTATTTTAAAAAGGTTTGCTAGATTTGGGGTGAGATTGATTCCTAGGAATTTTAGATGGTCGTTTCGCCAGTCGTATTTAAAAGAGATACGCAACCTATCCAAGACCTCCATCGGGATATTTATGCCCATTGCTTGAGTTTTATTTATATTAAGTTTATAATAGGAGCACTTGCTGTATTGGGTGAGCGTATCGTGGAAGTTAGGTAGGGATATGTGTGGTTGCTCGAGTGTTAAGAGGATGTCGTCTGCGAAAAGTGTGAGTTTGTGTTCTTTGCCTTGTCTCGTAATGCCGTGTATGTTTGGGTTGTCCCTAATGAGTTGTGTGAGAGGTTCTAGCGAGAGAATATAAAGGAGAGGCGATAGTGGGCAGCCCTGTCTTGACCCGTTGGTTATGTGGAATTGTTTAGAGCTAAAGCCCCCATTGGTGACTTTCGCTGTCGGTTTAGAGTATAATGCCTTTACTAACCGTAAGAAAGTGTCTGGGAAGCCATATTTGATCAGAACAGCTTGGAGGAAGGGCCAATGCAATCTGTCGAAGGCTTTTTCAGCGTCAAGTGACAGCATAACGCACTGGGCCCCCCCTCCGCTTCCTCCCTGTAGTAGGTCCAAGATCTTTCGGGTTCCGTCCGCTCCTTGCCTACCACTAACAAATCCCACCTGGTCCTCGTGTACCAGGGTCGGGATAATGTTCTTTAATCTGTTAGAGAAAATTTTTGCCAGTAATTTGATGTCCGTGTTAAGGAGGGAGATTGGTCTTAGATTTTGGCATTTGTTAGGTGGTTTGCCTGGTTTTGGCAATGTAGCTACATGTGCCATGAGCATGTCTTGGGGCACTTGGCCCGTCGTGAGGATATGGTTAAAGGTTTTGTCCAGATATGGGGTTAGGATTGTGGTCATTGTCTTGTAGTAGGAGTTTGTGAGTCCGTCGGGTCCCGGTGATTTGCCATGGGGGAGTGAGTGTATAGCTTGTTGTATTTCTTCTTGTGTGACTGGGTGTTGTAGGATAGTTTTCTGGTGTTCCGTCAGTGTTGGCAGCGAGAACTGTCCAAGTAGATTTTGAATGTCTTGGGATGTGGGTTGATGTAGTGTGGGGTCTTCTTTGAGGTTGTATAATGAGTGGTAATAGTCTGCCATAGTATCATTAATATCTTGTGGGTTGTGGATTTTAGAGCCTTGGGAGGTGAGCAGATAGGGGATTTTTGCATTGGATTGTTTTTGGCGTAGTAGAGTCGCTAGATTCCTGCCTGCTTTGTTTCCTTGTGAGTAGGTTTTTTGTTTCAGCTTATGTAAAATGTGTGCTGTTTTAGAGATTGCCATGTTGTTGATACTCGTCGTAGTATCATGGATCGTCTGTGCTAGTTGTGGTGATGGGTCTACTATGTTTGCCGCTGTTGCGTCTCTCAAAGTGCGCAGCAGGTGTAGGTGTTCTTGTTGTGCTTTCTTTTTTAAAAAGGAGGCTCTGCTGATGAGGAGTCCTCTGATGACCGCTTTATGGGCTTGCCACACAGTGGTCGGATGGACATCCGGCGTATCATTAGTTTGGAAATATGATGTCAGGGCTTCTGTTAATGTTGTAGTGAATGTCTGGTCACCTAGAAGGGAATCATTGAGCCGCCACGGTGGCCGTCCCCTATGTTGGTATTCCTCAGTCAGCTCTATTGTGGTCGGGGCATGGTCTGACCATGTTATGTCCCCGATTTCGCTATTTGTTACTCTGGTAAGCAATGTACCTGTTATGAAAATGAAGTCTATCCGTGAATATGATTTATGCACTGCTGAATAGAACGTGAACGTTTTCTCATTAGGATGGAAGGCTCTCCAAGGGTCGTATAGGCCATATTCCCCTAGCAGTGTATTGATTGCTTTACTTTGTGCTTTGAGTGCTTTGTGCCTCGGTGTCGTGGTGTTTAGTGTGGTGTCCATGTGTGGGTCAAGAGGGTGGTTAAGATCTCCACATAATATAAGTGGGGCAGTCTGGTTAGGTGGGAGTGCAGAGAGCACCTTACGTAGGAAGGCGCGTTGGTGTACATTGGGAGCATAGAAGCTGACTATAATATATGGCAGGTTATTTAGGAGGCAATGTAGCATTACAAATCTTCCTTGTTTGTCTTTGATTAGGTTTAGGGCTTCAACTGTTAAGGAGGAATGGAGAAGGATTGAGGCCCCTCTCGATTTGGAGGAGTGAGTTGCGTGATATTGGTGAGGGTAATGTTGTGCTCCAAAGTTAGGCACCCTAGATGTAACAAAATGGGTCTCTTGTAAACAGATAATGTCCGCCTGAGTCTGTTTGGCTTCCTCCAGCATCATGCGCCTTTTATGTGGGGTGTTTAGTCCCCTGCAATTGTGTGAATATATTTTCATGTGATGGGTGGGTGATAAAGGGTGCTCGTTTGCAGTTCTGCTATGCCTATATGGATTTGCAGATGTTGCAGGGTTCGTATGGTGCACCGCTTAGACGGCGCCTGTGCGACTACGTTGTTGCGCCCGGGGGTGGGAGGTTCGGGAATGACAGAGGAAAGGGGTGAAAGAAACCAAAGTATATACAGTATGACCCAAACGTGGGTCTTGGCACAGTGGCATCGTGCCATGGGGGAGGAGCGCTGAAACAGCGTCTCTGGTATTGTGGCCGTTGGGCTCCCTTGTACACATAGTTGCTGTCTCTCCTCAGAGCTATAAGTCAATAGCGACCTAGGTATTGTGCATGGCATTCTCAGTGCTGGCCTGTGGGCATGGGTGGGAGAATCAAATCGGACCCAAGGGAAGGTTTTGCGGGGCGGTGTGCAGGTCGCCGCTTGGTGCCTATCGTGGTTTTCCTACTTGTTGTGTCGGTCTTTATGATGGGGTGTGGTTCTCCCATCGTAACTTTTGGATGTGATGAGCCAGGCTACGTAGTTGGGCGGGGCGGTGCGGTTGCAGTGGGTTTGACCTACTCGTAAAACAATAGTTGGTTATATGGTGTCATATACAATTTTCTCTCTATGGACAATGTCCCGGTAAATTACATAATCGTTGTGCACCTTTGTACATTCTTGGAGTACCTGTCTTATGTATGCATAGCCTCAACCTTGTAAATAATAGTTAGGTATTAGGATCATCTCCAACTACTGGTCTTTTCTTTGCCTATACCATGCCGCCCTTCCTTGTTGCCCAAAGTTTGCCCTGGTTATCACCCATGTGGGCATCCCACCCGCCCACATCCAACAAACCATGCATAGTGTGGTATGATTGTGTGGTAAGTGAATAAAATGCTAATCAAAGCAGTTGATCACATGAAAAAAGAAAAACTTAAACTAAACTTGTGATAACAGTTAGCAGTACATATTAATATCTCACGTGTCCCTGGTTATGGCCTGGACGGCCTAGTCCCTCAGGTGGATCATGGCGATTTGTTCCGTGTTGGGACCTGGCGCCATTCTGGTGTCAGACGTCTCACTGGGCTTGCTTGAGTTGTGGAGGGGGGGTTAGTAAGGAGCCCCCAGTCTCTCAATAGTCGGGTGCCTTCTTCCGGCGTGGAGGCCACGTTGATCTCGCCGCTTTTGGTAATTAGGAGTTTGGTGGGGTATCCCCAACGGTACCTTATTCCTGCACGTCGCAATTCTTCTGTCACCGGTTGGAAATCCCTCCTGCGCTTGAGAGTCGCCGCGGACAGGTCTGCTAGGATCTTGATCGTGGCGTAGTTTTCATGTGGTTCTGAGCGGATTCTGCTGGCGCGCAATACTGCCTCTTTTATGTGGTAGTAGTGTGCCCTTAGTAGGATGTCGCGAGGGATATTGCCAGGCAGATTGCGTGGTTTGGGCACCCTGTGTACCCGGTCTATTAGGAACATATCCGTGGGGATGTCCGGAGCGTATGCCCTCAGAAGGCCTTGCACATAGGCTGGTAGATCATTAGGCATGATGCTCTCCGGGACTCCTCGTAGCCGGAGGTTGTTTCTCCGCGAGCGGTCCTCAGCGTCAGCCATACGCGCCTCCATTGTTTCGATTTTTTGTTCCAGCCGCGCTACATGGTCGGCCATATCGTTGTGCGCTGTTGCATACTCGCTTAGCTTATTTTCCACGTGTGTGGTTCGTTGGCCTATGTCCTGGACTTCCCTGCGGAGTTGTCCTATGGAGGATTGCCATGTTTGTACTAGTTTGTTGGCCATGGCTTCCATCGCTGCATCCAGGTGTGCCTTAGTGAGGTTGTCCTGGCTATCTTGATGTGCGCCCGTGAGTGAGATGTTTCCCGCCGTTTGTTCGTCGGCGCCATCTTGGATTGTGCCGCGGTCAGTTTCAGAGCCGCCCGCGGCTTTGTTGTTGAAGAAATTTAGTTTTTCCGCCTTCTGTGTGCTCTTTTTCCCCTTGGGGTTCGCCATCTCGGGTGTGATGAGGGTTTTCTGAGCCCTGGGAGACGATGTCGTCGGATTGCTGGAGCCCGGGTGCCGGAGCAATTTCCTAGGCTGCCAGGTTGCTCGGCGGTCGGCCACGCCCCCCCTAGTGTCCCTTTTAATGTGAGGTAAATTAGAGATTAGTGTCACTAATAATATACTAGACTGCCTACTTACAACCAGATGAGGATGGTGATGGGCTCTGGCTGCAGTTTGGCTCCACTGGTCTGGTGTAGAACAGGATCTCTGGAGGCTGTTTGTAACTGGGGTCACAAAATTCAATGTTCTGGGAGAACGGGAAGCAGCTTTTTTTTAGGGCCCCTTACACAGCTCAATGTCTGGGCGCCAGGGCC